TTTTTTTACTAACAAAATGCTAGGAAAAATCGTTTCTCATACAAATGTGAAAATAAAAGAAATAAGACCGAACTACCAAAATGACATCTGTGTTCAAGACATGGATCTCAAAGAACTAAAAGCAGTTATAGGATTTCTGTTTTATACTACAATCTTCAAAGAAAATTATGAAGATTATTTATCATGGTATAGTACTGATGGCACTGGAAGGGAAATATATCGATTTATCATGAGTAAAAACAGGTTTGAAGTTTTGCTGAAAGCCATACGTTTTGATGATGTAGCAACCCGAGCAGTGCGTCGAGAAAGTAATGCATCTGCACCTATTGCTGACCTCTTGGACTCTTTTGTTCGGCGCTGTCAATCCATTTATGCAATAGGCAGTTGCGCTTGTATTGATGAGATGTTGGTCGCATTTCGAGGAAGATGCAGGTTCAAAATGTATATGCCAAAGAAACCGGCCAAATATAGGATAAAAATTCAATGTCTTACGGATGCAAGGTCTGGATATCTATCCGATGCATATATATACCTAGGCAAAGATTCAGATGGCCTTAATTTACCAGCTGAACATCAACGACTCACCAACGAGGTTGATTCGACGGTTTTTGGATTTACTAAAGATTTCGCCATATCATCATATGTGCCAAAAATAAATAAAGCAGTCATCACAGTTTCGAGTATGCACCATACGCCAAAAGTCGATGAAGGAAACAAAAAATCGGAGATAATACTATTTTATAACCAAACGAAAATTGGAGTGGATCTGCTTGACCAAAGGTGCTCGAATTACTCCATAAGTGGCCGTTGGCAATATTCTACCGACTACTTGACATTTCCATCTCAAATTGCTACGTCGTGAGCCTATCTGTCCAGCCCGAAGGGTAAAGATTGCAAGCAGATTCCAGTTTGTGAAGAAACTAGCTGAACAATTAACAATACCCCACATGGAACGACGTCTAAGCAACGTGAAATTGCAAAGGGATATACGAATCAGTATTCAACGCATCCTCCACAGGAACGTGAGCCCTCCATCAGCAGTTGAACGTAGTACCAGGGCTGAAGAAAGGTTGCCGGCTCGTATAAATTTTTCTACTTGCACTTAAGCAGGGATCACACGATTTGTACATTTGTACACAAAATGCCAAATTTAGATTTGTCCACATTTGCGCATTTGGATAGCGATGTACCAATGATTTGTTTTGCGATCAGACGATTTGGCTGCCAAAGATCCAAATGATTTGGTACACATTTGCGCACAGCAGTAAAGTGACAAATATTGTACACATTCATTCACACGATTTAACCATTTGGTCATAAATACTTAAACAGCTGATCCGGTGTCAACCATACTTTTGCATTTATGATTTCGTGAGATTTTAAGTGAAATAAACAAAAATAATATATACGCACAGGTACTCAGAATTTTGAATACACCCTCAAAATCTGGGGTGAAGGTAAAAAACGTGTTTTTCATAGGTTGAAGCATATACTTGCTCGTAACTTTATTTCTGTTTGCTCGATGAAAAATACTTACATATGCCATTTAAGAGAAATTTGACATTTCGTTGTTTACAACCATTTATAAATGGTTAATTTATCTTGAGAATGGGCACCCTATGTATGTATACTAGTTAACAAAATAGTCGGACAAGTCGTATTTTAAAATGAAAAAATGTTAAAAATTTAAATTTTTCATATCGATGGCTGAGTGGAAGATCGACCTATCTCGGAAGCCAGTTCAAAAACGCCCTGTCTCTGAAAATTTTTCAAGAACGCCCTACTTCAAAGAGTGATTGAAAAATTCCCTATTTCAGAATTTGGTTGAATAACGCCCTATCTCAGAATTCATTTCAAAAATGCCCTATCTCAAACGAAAATACATTGAAAATAAGCTGATATAGGGCGTTTTTGAATCTGCAGCTGAGATAGGGCGTTTTTCAATGAAATTCTGAAGTAGGGCGTTCTTGAAAAGTTTTCTGAGATAGCGCGTTGTTAAAAAATTTTCTGAGATAGGGCGTTTTCGAACTGGTTGCCGAGATAGGTCGATTTACCACTCAGCCATCGATATACTTTGTAAGATTCCTTTCAGTGATCGGACTTCTACCACATTGTTTTTTGAGCACACCTACCACACAAGGTCTGAAATCTACCACATATTCGCGTTTTTGCTCAACATAATTTTCTTAATTTTAATAGCAAAAATTGTCCAACACTAAACACTAACAACAGGCAGAATGGGAGGATAAAATCAACTGTAAAATAGTAAATTTTCTCAATATTCAATTTTTCGACATCAAACATGGTTTTATTGTGTTAAATTGCAAAATATATGATTTACAAAAAGAATTAATAGCGAAAATGATAAAACCGGCGATTTTTGTGAAAGCATTAACAAATTTCAGTGCATCTCAAATTTCTAAAGCGTTGTTTACTTTTACTTGAGAATTGTCAAAATCGGCAAATCCCAAGTAGCATTTCTGGAACGAGCCACATTTGTTCGCTATATCGTGATGTGATAAAAAGAAAAGCTGGCAGCACTCTGCAAGGTTGCAGAAATCTTTCAAAATATGTTCGAAACTGTCAAGGAAAAAAATTGCCAAAACCTACGCAATTTTTATCAACTTCAATCTTGCACTTTATTATACTAAAATTAATTTTGTTTTAGATTCTAATTAAAATGTTTGCAATTTAGGAGAAACCTTGCAGATTTTTTTTAATTTTTGTACAAAGTTTGATCCAAAACTTGAGATCTACCACATTTTTTTGAAATCTACCACATTTTTTTGAAATCTACCACATTTTTTTTTAGATTCTATCACACAAATTTTTTTTTAAGTCCGATCACTGATTCCTTTGGGTTAGCAAAAATCGGGTTACTTGAGGTTTTTATTTTTTTACTCGTTTTTTTTAGTGTGAAGCTAACAAGTATTGTACCATTTTACAATCCTGATTAAATGCGCGAACTTTTAATGGCACTTGCCAAGGCACTTTAGTACATTTTTTTTTAAAGGAGGGTCTTTCAAAGTCGACAAATTATAAAAATTTTAAATCATAGTTTAACAAATAGTCTTAATTCTAGAAAACTTGGGGCAATTGTGTCATTATTTTTGACTTAGGTTGTAGAAATGTTATTTAGGGTTAAGGTTCCGAAGTTTAAATGAACAAAAATAATAAAAATTAACACAATAACCGAAAAATGGTCACAGTTTGACCAACATCCTGGGTTTTTCTAAAAATGCACATAATTTTCAAACTGCATGGGATAGATTTTTTTTCTGATTTTTCTCATGATGGTTACAATCAATCCTGTCACCCCGTTTCGGCTTGACGTTCAGTTCTGGGACACCCTGTATACTTATTGGAATTTATACAATGTTGTACTACAAATGATGACTGTATAAACAATTTTAATTCAACAGGATTACGATTTTTAAAATCATTTACAACCTTGTACAAAATTCAGCCGACGACGATATACTCATGGAGTGGAAAAGGAATATTATTCAGATGTCTTTTAACGGAATAGATGAGTGTGATCACACATTATCGTCACATATGTGGAAATGCATTTTACTCATACAATCAAAATATGAGGATTGGTAAGTTAAATCAGTTTAAACCTCATTCAATTAAAAAATACATAAGTGGATCATTCAATTAAAAGCTATGTTCGTATACATTGTCTGTTCAATATTAGTCTGTTCAGGCTTTGCCAAAGTGGGTGCCGCTATTGGCTAGAGTATACTAGTGGTGCGGACAAATCTTTACTGCCATACCTAAATAAAAGCGTCAGCGTTATCCGGCTGTCAAAAAATTCTCATGCCCATACAATTTGTATGAAACATACCGAAACAACGCGGCGCCAACGCTGAGCGGTTGGAAAATCCGATTTTGAAATGGCGTTAGGTATTGAAGTTGGCTGCAGAAAACGGCGAAACTGTCATTTTGGTGTTACACACAAACAAACCTATGCTTATTGTTGGTGTTATTTCTGCATTTGACGTAGCGTTGACGCTTTTGTTACGGTATGCCACTTCGGCGCTAACACTAGGCGTCAGAAACCGCTCCGTCCAACGCTTTTGTTTAGGTATGGCAGTTAAACTTTCCATACACAACGCAAGCGGTTTGATCAAACTTCAACATGGCGATCAGAAAATCAAGAAATTTTGATTTTTATTAAAATTACATTCAGCGGCTCGTCAAACCCCATACACAAAACAAATGGCTTGCAGAAAAGGGATATTTCGCTTGGTTTGTCAAGCCGCTGGTGTGGTGTATTTCGCTCTTAACCGTAGTTCCCCAGTATATTTTGTCAAAGAAAAATTTAATCAAAAAATTTTCAGAAAAATAGCCGAAAACGTTCCCTTTCTACCCATTTTAGGTACTTTTGTAGACCTAATCCGCGTTTCATCCACCTTTCTTCCCGATTTCGGATTAATTTTCAGATTTTTTGCTGGCTGGGCTGTTCTCGTAACAAGCGCCGGAGCTTTGCGCACGTGTATATGTTACTTATTCATTGGAACTTCGCAATCACACTGTGAAAGAGCGAGTCAACACGATTTTAAAGGCAGTCGAGAACGAACTTATTAAGAGTTTGAAAACTTGTGAATTTTTCAGTTTGCAACGTGACGAAAGTACCGACGTAGCGGGACTTAATGTTCTTCTCGTGTTAGTGAGGTACCCATTCGCAATGCAAATCGAAGAAGAACTTTTGATGAGTACTTGACACTTACACCACTAGCGACGAAATTTTTAAAGCTATCGACAAATTTGTACAGAAAAATGGTTTGAAATGAAGCAAGTGTGCGGATATTTGCAGTGGTTTGAAAAACGAAAGGAGCGATGTCTAAGATGAAGCAAGAGGCAGAAAACGCCACGAGAAGTCACTGTATGATCCGGTATTCCCTGGCGATTAGGAAGATGACGCCACTAGATTTAAAACCCGTATTGGATGACACTGCGAAGATAACAGAGTCCTACGGAATTAAAATACATCTTTGGTTTCTTCTAGCACGTCGAGATTTTTTTATTGGTTACATGTATATTTTAGAATTTCTAGCAATTTGCATGAAAACCCCATAAATACACAAAGTAAATCAGAAAAACGTATTTAACTTCAAATTTAACGCTAAAAAAATTGATAACAGCCGGTTTTACTAGCAATTTAAATGGAAAATGATTTTTTATTATCTGTCAATTTCCATATAAAGTTATAGAAATTAAAATAATTTTTCAATTAAATTGCTTTCGTAAAATTGGCTGTAAAAGTTATTTTCTTAGAGTTAACGCGCATTACCAGCGTTAACTTGGAAGGTTTAGAAAAAAAACATTGTCGAATATTTTCCCAACATTGACTCTGAGGATGTCTACAGCTTTATAACAAACCCGTTTCATATGACCCGAAAAGGAAACCTACTGAGATGACAAATTAAGCTTTTGAAAACCTTCTAATAAAATAAAATATTCCGACGAATTGATAACCTTCTCCTTTTGGTGAAGTCGGCTAAAAACAAATACACCAACAAGCTTTCAGCGTTAAATGATTTCAGGGTAAAATTGTTAAAGCTCCCAATAAACTTAAAGGAAATAATGACATCGTCAAAACAATTTCAGTCCTCACATTAAAGCTAAATGAGCATAAAGTTTGCATTGTGTTTTCTTGTTTTCGTAGACATTTGAAGAGAAGGGTGGCGCGGTAAAAAAAAGTTTAGGAACCCCTGGTCTAGTTCATAGATCGGACTATGTTAGGGGTCCCATTTTGTCGTGGTATTGGTGCGTCACGATCAGTCGTGATTGCCACTTTGTTATAAATGCACTAAAAGTGGGACTTGTTCGTTCATGGGCCTTTTTCCTTCTTCTTGTTCGGGCAGTCAAGCAATGAATTTTTGTAGTTCTTGGCAGCTAAAACTTATTAAAAAATTACATTTCACAGATTTGATGCTGTTAAAATCTTTTAAAGATTTACTTTTAATTACCAATATTTGGTTATAGTGATCAAGTAGAAAAGTTGGATATGGCGAAATAAATATATATCCAGTTAGTAAAAGTCTGCAATTTACTTAAGACGTCTAGTTGGGAAAATGTATAGCCATGTGAAAAATAATAAGAACACGACATTTTGACCAACTTTGGCTTTATTTCTTTTGTTTGTTTAATATTTATTTATTATTTTTTTTACTAAAACATAGCTCATTATCAGGGAACGGATTTTATGGATATTACCTTTTTTTCTGCTAAAGAGATAGAGTATATTCGATTAAGAATGCCCACCATTTAGTATTCCCTGATTCTATATATACACTTTTGATGTTGCCTTTTTTGCCTTTTTTAAGATATGTGCATTTTTTTTGCCTTTTCTACCATAAAGGCAAGTATGAGGCAAGAAAAGCTAAAACTCCATATAAAATGACGAACAAGAAATGGCTAAGACATTTTCATGTGTAAAATTTCCTTAAGGCAGTATGCAATTCTTAAGAAATTTGCTACGCTTCTAGTACGGTTTTCTAAAATTTTTTTTGTGAAAAAAGAGCACAAGGCAACCCATATTTACAACAGAAGCATATCTTCTTCTTCTTTATTGGCGCTGTAACCGCCTAAGCAATTTTGCCGAGTCCAAAACAGCACGCCAGTCATTTCTCTTCTGTGCTAACTGACGCCAATTGGAAATGCCAAGTGAAGCCAAGTCCTTCTCCACCGGGTCTTTCCAACGCAGAGGAGACCTTCCTCTTCCTCTGTTACCAGCATCGCGGCCCGCGTTGAATATTTTCAAAGCAGGAGCGTTTCTGTCCATTCGAAGGACATGGCCAAGCCAGCGGAGCCGCTGAATTTTAATTCGCTGCACTATGTCTATATCGTTGTAAAGCTCGTACAACTCATCGTTAAATCGTCTGCGATATTCGCCATCACCAACGCGTAAAGGTCCGTAAATCTTTCGCAGAATCTCTCTCGAAAACTCCAAGAGCCGCCTCATCAGATGCTTTCATTGTCCATGCCTCGGCGCCATACACCAGCACAGGCATGATGAGTGACTTATAGAGTGTGATCTTTGTACGACGAGAGAGGACTTTACTTCTCAATTGCCTACTCAGCCCAAAGTAGCACTTGTTGGCAAGAGTGATTCTCCGTTGGATTTCAAGGCTGACATTATTACTGGTGTTAATGCTGGTTCCCAAATAAACGAAGTCGTCTACTTTTTCAAACTTGTAACTGTCAACAGTGACGTGGGTGCCAAGACGCGTATGCTCTGACTGTTTGTGTGATGACAGGAGATACTTCGTTTTGTCCTCGTTCACCATGCTCGTTCGCTTTGCTTCTCTATCCAATCCCGAGAAGGCAGAACAGACGTAGCCCTTGTTTTTACCGATAATATCGATGTCGTCGGCATACGCCAGCAGTTGTACGCTCTTGTAAAGTATTGTGCCTGAGCGGTTCAGTTTTGCGGCTCTTATTATCTTCTCCAATATCAGATTAAAGAAATCACATGAAAGGGAGTCCCCTTGTCTGAAACCTCGTTTGGTATCAAACGGCTCGGAGAAGTCCTTCCCTATTCTGACGGAGCTGGTGGTATTGCTCAACGTCATTTTACACAGCCGTATTAGTTTCGCGGGGATACCAAATTCAGACATCGCGGCATAAAACCAACTTCTCTTCGTGCTGTCGAAAGCGGCTTTGAAATCGACAAATACATGGTGTGTGTCGATCCTATTCTCGCGGGTCTTTTCTATCTGATCTATGGTGGATTTTCCAGGTCTAAAGCCACACTGATAAGGCCCAATCAGTTCATTGACGGTGGGCTTCAGTCTTTCACACAATACGCTCGATAAGACCTTGTAACCTATGCTTAGAAGGCTGATCCCGCGGTAGTTGGCGCGAATGGTGGAGTCGCCTTTCTTGTGGATTGGGCAGAGCACACTTAAATTCCAGTCGTCGGGCATGCGTTCGTCTGACCATATTCTGCATACAAGCTGATGCATGCACCTCATCAGCTCCTCGCCGCCGGACTTGAATAGCTGGGCTGGCAGGCCGTCAGCTCCAGCAGCTTTGTTGTTTTTCAGCCGCGTAATCGCTATTCGTACCTTGTCATAGTCAGGCGGTGGGATAGCTACACCATCATCAACGACAGGGGACTCGGGTTCGTCTTCTTCTCTACTTTCAGCGCTGCTGCCATTCAGTAGGTTGTAAAAGTGTTCCCTCCACAATTTAAGTATATTCTGGACATCGGTCACTAGGTCGCCATTGTTGTTCTTACAGGAGTTCGCCCCGGTCTTGAAACCTTCCGTAAGTCGCCTAACCCTCTGGTAGAATTTTCGGGCGTTCTTCCTGTCGGCCAGCATCTCAAGCTCTTCGCACTCACGTATTTCTCGCTTCCTTCTTCAGTTCCCTATAACGGTCCCACATGGCTCGCGTTGCGCCCGATCGCAGCGTGGTCCTATAGGCGGCGTCTTGTTTCTCTGCGGCTTCTTGACATTCCTCATCATACCAGTTGTTCTTTCGGGCTCGCTGAAATCCAACTACTTCTTCGGCGGCGGTACTTAATGATCGGGAAATGTGGTTCCACTGCTCGCGTATGTCGGGTTGTTGAAGAGTGCTCTCAGTTCCATAATTTCTTGAGGAAAAAGTGATTCAACAGGATGTGAAGTATCAGATGTCAAAAATCCATGGACACACACTCGAAATAATGACAATTTTTTTCTTGTCCGTTTTCCTGAGAGCTGCATACTGGCCTTTACTTGTAAAGGACAAATAAAAAGCCCTTACTCCTGATAATATGAAGGTTGTTAATGTTCCATATTTAAATTGGGCGTCACTTGTATCAAATCACGTCGAGCGCACGTTTAGTACATTGAAGGCTTTTCTTCGCGAAAATCGAATGCTGCCTGAAAACTTTAAATTGCATCTTGTGGTTCAACTAAACTATAAAGATTAAAGTTTTGTGAGTTAAAAACTCGAAAGGAGAAAATAGTCAACGATTCAAAGTAGAAATGTTTCAATAATGACTCTAGTGCGTAGTTTTTCTCTTTATACTTGTAAAATAAACATTTCTAAAATAAATGCATTTTTTTATTATTTTTCGGTTTTTGTCTTTTTTTAGTGCCTTTTTGCGATTTCTAGTGCCTATTTCGCTCTTTTATTTTGCCTTTTCTAGCCTATTTCGTTATTTGATTTTGCCTTTTTTATAGGTCTTTAGGTCCTAAAAATCCGTTCCCTGCTCATTATCTAACAAAAACCATATAAGTCAAAATTTCAAACTTTGTAGAAAAATTAGATAAATTCAAAAAAAATTTAGAACAATAACCAACAAAGTTATTGAGCTAGTATCACTTTGAAAACATTATGGTTTCTCAATTTTTAGAGTTCTAACTGTCAAATCTTCTGGCATACACAAGCTACAAAAACGGTTGGATACTGCTTTGCAGATTTTCACAAGCTTTAACCAAAAAGTACATTAAATAAACAAAAGAAAAATAACCAAACCTGGTCAAAATGTCGTATCCTTTTTGTTAATAATTACAAAACCACTATCTATCTATAAACAATGCTTTGGTCGATAAAAGTTTTCAACTACTTTTGTGAACTTGTTGTATACT